AATGTTTAACTCAACAATGAAACATCAAATGTAGCTAACAGCTTTTACATTGTCAATCAAATGAACTTAAACAATTAAATAATGCAACAAATATTTGTTTGGGCAGAACTACAAAACTAAATGTAAAAAAAAAAAAGTTGCTAAAGTTGCACACTAGTTTGGTCATGTATAAATATCATTATATTAACCATATTGTATAAATATTATTGTCACTATAAGCCTACATCATGCTGACGATCAAAAACACAATGTCATGATATCTCATGCGCTTGTCTTCTGAAGGAGTGCATCTTAAAATACATGAATGACCCCTCATAGATCGTAAGAAGCAGATATTCTTTATAATTTGTAAAATAAAGACTTGCAGGTTAAGGAAACAGCATAGGAATTTGCCACGGCCGTGGTGCAGATTAAAAGTTTAAAAAAGTATATTTATATGGACAGATACAGTAGGTAACTAGATAGAATAGACAGGAGTATGTTGATCTGTGCCCCGCTGCAGAGTGCAGACAGACGCAAAAGCCTGCTCTCCCGCGGTGCCTTTTAAATGAGGTTAAAGAAGTGCACTTTAAAATACTTTACAAAATGTATCCTTGCAAAGCAACTTTATCTAAATTCATGGATATTGAGAGTACTTGCACATTTTGTAATATACATGAGGAAGACTTATCTCATCTTTTCTATAACTGTGATGCCTCTCGTAAATTTTGGAATGATGTTAGTGACGTGTTATTTGGGCAAAGAAATGTTAATTACAGGCTATCTTTAAAAGATGTGATTTGCACTTTTTCACACACAAGAAGAACATTCGAGTATGTTGTTAACTTCTACATTTTACAAGGTAAATATTTTATACATAAACAGAAATTTGCGAAATGTGTACCAAAATGTAATATTTTTTTATTAGAAATGGAAAATCTGAAAAAGTCTCTAATGCAAATTAAAAACAAAAAGAATGATTTAATGTTAGTTTTCATGAAGGAATTTTTTTCTAGTTCTGATCCCCCGCTGTAGTCGATGATTGTATCCTAAGTTATTATTTTAGTTTATATGTATAGAAGTATTTTGTAATATTTGTATTTTTTTATCTTATTTATTAATTTTTTTTTTTTCTTTTGCAACTTTTTATTAATTTTTTTTTCTCCTGTTATATATTACTTCATCATTTTTGGATCTTGTAACTATAGTAATGTTTATGGATATAATATATATCTGAATTATTGTATTTTTACTTTATGTAATGTTTCAAAACTATAATAAAAAAATAAAAAAATAAAAAGAAACATCTCACTTTCAGAGCGTGACAGCTCGCAGCACCGTCAATCACTCAGGCAGAAAAACATGACAGTCTGCTAAGTGTTTTATGGGCCGATCAGATCATAAGCAGATGATCAGCCCGGCCCAAAAAGTACGTTGCAACAGCGGGAAACTGCCGGGTCTGCCCCTGGCCACAACAGGGAAAAAAAAATAAAAATGCGTTAATTGCGTAAATTTTTTTTTACGCGTTAATTATTTCAAATAATCGCATGCGTTAACGAGTTAATTTTGACAGCGCTAATATATATATATATTATATATATCTTCATATATATGTTAGGACAAAACGAAAAGCAGCATCCAGAAACATCCTGAATGTAATTATGTACTTTAACCCGGAAATCTTGTATTTTAGAACAGGACCACAGGGCATGAATCAAGTCTCCTTCTTCGCTTTCGCATTTCCAACACAAAGCAGAGTCCTTCAACCCAAATCTAAAAAGCCTACTTGGAGTCCAGTAAAAACGATTTAAGATTTTAAATTGTATTAAATGCACTCCTAAATTTCTTGACATTACTTTACAGTTTTTGCATTTTTTTTTCCAATGGTCATCACTAAATATAACTCCTTACTCCAAACTGTTTTAAGAGCAGACTAGGAACTAAACCCCATCTTTTCCCTTAACCAATTATAATATATTGAAACTTCATGCCCTCTGCCATACGCTCTAAGAATTACTGTTAAATTACAGTCTTCCTCTGGAGCTCAATTACCAATCTTAAACTTCATTTTTAATAGATGCCTAATCTTTAAATATCTCCAAAACTGATTTTTATTGAGGCCAAAATTTTGTGATAATTAGTTAAAGGATTTCAAATTGTCATTTTCAAAGAGATTTCCTATTTTAAGAATACCTTTCTCTATCCATTCCTTCCACATAAAATTAGATTTCCCGATGCACAGTTTGAGATTCAGCCAAATACTTGAAATTGTACTCAAAAATTGGTTAAACTTTAATGTTTTTGCTATTCTTTTCCATATTGGCTGGAGATGTGATATTATTGGATTGTATCTTTTGAGGCAGTTTAATAGATAAACAATGTATTGGTGGGAGGGGGAGTACAATGGATCGTTCCACCATAAACCAAGGTGGAACCCTTTCTGCAGGGAGAGATCAGTGGGCTAGATGTCTTAGACTGAAAGCATAATAATAATGTAAAAGCTTGGGAAGCCCCAAACCTCCTTTTCCCACTGGCTGCTGCAATTTACTCTTATGTAACCTAGGACGTTTATTGTTCCAAATAATTATTTTAACAAAACTATCGAACTGTTTAAAATATTGTATTGGAAAATCTACTGGAATCGACTGAAGTAAATAGTTGATTTTAGAAAGGCAGTTAATCCTGAGTACATTCACCTTACCCCAGAGGGACAAATTTAAAGATGACCACCTCCCTAGGTCTCCTGAAATTTTTTGAAGTAATGGTTCTACATTCACTCTCACCAAATATTTTAGATTATGTGGAAATAGAATACCTAGATATCTCAAGCCTTGTTTGGGCCACTGAAATGGAGCCTGTTGGAAAAGGGACACAGGGCAATAAGCTCTCAGAAGTAGAGCTTCCGATTTGGACCAATTAACTCTGTAACCTGAGATCTTGGAAAAAAGAATTGATAATCTCTAACAAAGAAGCTATAGATTTCTGAGGATCTGATACAAACAACAGCATGTCTTCTGCATACAGCATCAACTTGTGCACTATTCCTCCCACAGAAACCCTAGGAAATTTAGAATTTGCTCTTATAGCTGCTGCTAGAGGCTCTAAAGCTAAGCAAAACAACAGGGGAGATAATGGTGATCCCTGACGTGTCCCTCTAGTCAGGGTAAAACAATCAGAAATGTGTCCATTAGTCTGTACTGCAGCTTGGGGTATGGAAGTTTTTTCCTATCAAAATTAAAATGAAAATTCAAATGCTTAAAAGATCAAATGATAAATCAAATGCTCAAACTATAAATCAAATGCTCCAACCGACATTGCAAATGATAAATCAAATCCTCAAACTGACTCTGCAAATGATAAATCAAATGCTCAAACGGACTTTGCAAATGGTGAATCAAATCCTCAAACCGACTCCTCAAAATATAAATCAAATCCTCAAACTGACATCGCAAATGATAAATCAAATCCTCAAACTGACATCGCAAATGGTGAATCAAATGCTCAAACTATAAATCAAATCCTTAAATCGACATTGCAAATGGTGAATCAAATGCTCAAACGACTCCGCAAATGGTGAATCAAATGCTCAAACGACTCCGCAAATGGTGAATCAAATGCTCAAACAGACATCGCAAATGGTGAATCAAATGCTCAAACAGACATCGCAAATGGTGAATCAAATGCTCAAACAGACATCGCAAATGATAAATCAAATGCAAATGAGGTGTCAATCAACCAGCATAGGCGGAGCTTTAAGGCGGAAGAGTTTGTTGTTGACAACAACCGTTAGCGCTACGACTTTTTCAAGGCGCTCAGATTTGCGTGCACTATTCCATGTCGTATCCGTATAAACTCGTGAAAGAGAAAGCGAGAAATCTCCAAATGCTTCTGTCCACATTCTGAAGTGTTCATCAGATGGGTACATCTATCACAGGAGGCCACGAAAAACCATACGGAAAGATGATGATGCTACGTCACATTGTGGAAAACTGGATGGATTTAGACTTCTTACATGCAAGTAATTAAATCCAGAAAGACGGTTCCTTGAGTTAAGTTACAGTAAAATAGCAATAGTTGAGCTACTGTACAGTGAACTGTAGAATTACTGAAAGTGTAAAGATGCTTTACAGTATATTTATTTTATCTTGCTGTAAATTATCATGTAGGAACTTCTGTAAGCACATGACGTTTCAAACGTTAATTTACATAAAGACGATTATTCAATGTCTGACAGAAAAATATAGGCGGTATTGCAGATTAGCAAATTATAACATTAAACAGACGTCTGAGTGATTTGTTTGTGTTGATGTAGAATGCACTTTTGTCAATACAGCTTAGGTTAGATACATGTAATATTAATACAGTAATGTTTTCTTCTGTTCAGTTGGTGATACATTTATGAAAGTATAATTTTGAGCACACAAATCACAGAGGTAATATGACTTGTCTGGTTGTTATAGAGAAGGAAGCACACATGTTTGTGTGTTAGCTGATGCAGAGTGACTGAACAAATGCTACCATCATATTTGTTTAATATTGTTGTTTCAAACTGCTATTACAACAATTTCTTTAATGTTGATTTATATGCCATTTCTGGGCTGGAGCAGGACTTGCAAGGCAAGAAAACAGAGAAAACCTGAATTCAAAACATGAAGTAAGATCATGTTATTACTTCCAATTCAGAACTCAAATGAAACTCAAAAAGTGTGCTGTTAAATGACTTCTTTATTAAGAGCTTTGCATAATCTGAAATGTCCTCAGACTGGTGTGTGCAGTGATGATGATGAAGAACAGCAGTGTGCTGATGAAGGAAATGTTGAAGATGCTGTAGTGCCGTGGACAAGACCCTGCATCCCTCCACCTGCCTGCGTGTCCTCATCTGAGCCAGATGCTGGTGTGGTCTCTTCATCTTCAGTATGAATCGGTTTCTCAGGCATGGACAGCCTCACCTCACAACTCTGTTCCAGTCTGATTGCAGCACTGAGGGATGTGATGGCAAAAACAAGTGAAGTCCAGAAGTCCTGAAATACATGATTGTTTGAATAAGTTTGAATAAAGCTTAGTTTCGTATCTTGTTGACTTGTATTTATTTATCATGGTTACTATTATTAATTCTTTTAATCATACATTCATATTTTCTTTAATTGTTGATGAATACATTAATAATTTCAATAATGTATAACTACATTATTTCATTTTTTGACTGGAAATTAAGATGTACTCACCTTGGCTACATTTGTCTAGTGACTATTCATGCATAGCTGTGTGTGTGTGTGTGTGTGTGTGTGTGTGTGTGTGTGTTTGTGAACAGCATTTATTATTTTTGTAAGTGTTGGGGTGGGCTTTGCAGTCTAGAGTAAATACTCACATTTTTCGAGTGTAAAATTTCTCCAAAGGAAGATCTTCAAGCAGCTGTCCGACATCTTTGTGCAGATGTACCAATGTGCCAACATTAGAAAGGCTATCAGGTAGGGTTATCAAGTTACTGATGCTATTAGGTGTTATTGTTCCGTCCCTGCTATTTTATTTGTATTATTATGGGATTGTTATCAATAACAATTATTATTATTCATTATTATGCAGAAATAAAAATTTCATACAGGCTTAGGGAAACATTGCTGTATCTTAACAATTAACATAAACAGCAAAAACAGAACAAATGTAATAGATTTTCTTTTGATATAAGAATATATGATTATATAATCAAACAAGACTGGAAAACTAACTTTAAGCATGTTCTACATGTGAATAAAAAAGTTACACAATAAAGGTAACAACAAATTAGGTTACATTTGACAAGGATATCTTATGTAATAAAATATTATTTTAAATTAAGGTTTAATAAACCTACCATTTATTTAAAGTTGCGCTTAACGTCAGTTATGTAACTTTTTTTTATCATCTTGGTTATCGTATGGTTTTTCGTGGCCTCCTATGATAGATGTACCCATCTGATGAACACTTCAGAATGTGGACAGAAGCATTAGGAGATTTCTCGCTTTCTCTTTCACGAGTTTATACGGATACGACATGGAATAGTGCACGCAAATCTGAACGCCTTGAAAAAGTCGTAGCGCTACCGGTTTCTTGTCAACAACAAACTCTTCCGCCTTAAAGCTCCGCCTATGCTGGTTGATTGACACCTCATTTGCATTTGATTTATCATTTGCGATGTCTGTTTGAGCATTTGATTCACCATTTGCGATGTCTGTTTGAGCATTTGATTCACCATTTGCGATGTCTGTTTGAGCATTTGATTCACCATTTGCGATGTCTGTTTGAGCATTTGATTCACCATTTGCGGAGTCGTTTGAGCATTTGATTCACCATTTGCAGAGTTGTTTGAGCATTTGATTCACCATTTGCAATGTCGATTTAAGGATTTGATTTATAGTTTGAGCATTTGATTCACCATTTGCGATGTCAGTTTGAGGATTTGATTTATCATTTGAGGAGTCGGTTTGAGGATTTGATTCACCATTTGCAAAGTCCGTTTGAGCATTTGATTTATCATTTGCAGAGTCAGTTTAAGGATTTGATTTATCATTTGCAATGTCGGTTGGAGCATTTGATTTATAGTTTGAGCATTTGATTTATCATTTGCAATGTCGGTTTGAGCATTTGATTTATAGTTTGAGCATTTGATTTATCATTTGATCTTTTAAGCATTTGAATTTTCATTTTAATTTTGTTAGGAAAAAACTTCCATATTGGGGATCTGTGTACAAAAGTCTTAACCATTTAAGAAAATTATCCCAAACCCCAAAATTTTGAAAGTCTCAAATAAAAACTCCCATTCTACACAGTCAAATGCTTTTTCTGCATTCAGTGAAATTGCTGCCACTGGAGTATTGAAAACAGCCATTGACCACTTGATATTAATAAATCTTCTAATATTATCTGGCCCATTTCTCCCCCGTATGAAACCCACCTGATCCTCGTGTACCAAAGTAGTCATAACTTTTCCAACCTGTTTGCCAAAATTTTAGAACATCTTAACATCTACAGTAATTAATGAAACTGGACGGCAATTCTTACATTCTGATGGGTCCTTATCCTTTTTAGGGATAAGTGTGATTACTGCTTGTGTCAGTGTATATGGTAACTCTTCCTTCTCCAGTGCCTCATTAAACATATTAAGCAACATTGGCGATACCTCAGCTACATAACTTTTAAAAAACTCTGCTGTAAAGCCATCTGGCCCCAGAGACTTAGAGGAGGGTAGAGACACGATTACTTCCACAATTTCTTTAATTTTAATGGGGGAATCAAGATATAGTTTTTGTTCTTTTGTCAAATTAGGTAGAGTCAATGCACCCAAAAATTCCTTTATATCTTTGTTTCCTTCGTCGCACGCTGATGTGTACAGATCCTTGTAAAATCTCTTAAAGGGTCACGAAACACCAAAACACATTTTTTGAGCTGTTGACAGTCATATATGTGTCCCACACTGCTAAAAACACTATTAGGACACCTATATTTCACTAAAAAGTGTAAATTGGTTGTTTTTGCGTTATTTCAAGCAAATTCGTACTTCCGGTTTGAAACGAATTTTTGAAGCTGCGTCACGGCCATGACATAATAGCCTGTATTCCAGCGTGCAGACTGGGCGTCTGTGCCAGAGTGAGTCTTGTTCAAGGCTTGGTTCAAACCAATCAGCGCGCTCTATTGTGCAACTTCATTAATATTCATTACTGTCAGAGTGTAGATGGCAGAGACGCCACGTTGTGTTGGCAAAACAAGCGTGAAGTGTTGCTTTTATAGTTTGCTGCCGTTAAGTTTCGTTTTCATTTTCTTTCTGTGAGAGCTCAGAGTCACGTGTGGATTACAGTGTACGCGACGCGCGACAACAATAATTTACGTGTCCAAGGAGGATTATTGTTTACCTGAGAGCTGTTCTCATCTGCAAACGCTGAGATCCAGATTCGCTTTAGTCTCCTCTTAATAAAGACGCGGCTCTAGTTGCTGGTGATTGTCCTGTCTCTACAGATTTGGTAAGTGAGCGACCAGTGCTCTTTGTTTATTCAGTTCGTATTTTATTCGAATCAAACAAACTATTGCAACGAGTGTAAACAAGTTAGCACTAACAGTTACAACCAAACTATAACCTCGTGTTGGATTTTGTGATCGGAATAACACACGCGGCTTTCTGATGCTACCTGCCGTGTGAGTTTCCCGGAAATGCTGATTTTTTTTTCTCTCATTCGCCGTGCGGTATCAAACATTGCATGAAAAATACACGCTTAGAGCAGCTCCTCGAATCAAATATCACGTTTGTCGGGAGGGACATGAATGAATTCCCTGAATGAAAGAGCCAAACTGCAGTTAAAGTCCACCATTTAATAATCTGGCAAATAATTCGACTACAGATGTCCATGTAAACACAGTCACATTGTCCGCTGTGGTTGTGTGTTTTGACTCTGAAATTCAGCGCGCCCAAATAGACACTCCCACACCAAGCCTCTTTTGTTCCTCCGACACTCCCCCCTAAACAGAGCTGGACACGCCCACTTTTCTGACTTTTTCCAAAGTAGAGGTGTGAAAACACCCTGCTGAAACGAGGGGGTTTCATGGTCCTTTAAAAACATTTATATCCTCTAACTTTGTTTTAATTATCCCTTCGTCCGACTTAATTGAGGGAACCATAGACACCATTTCTCTTTGCTTTATATAGTTTGTCAGAAATTTGCCTGCTTTTCAAAAAATGTGTATCTTGCCCTAAATAACCCAAATTCAACTTTCTTAGATAAAATAGTAAATAGTAATAGTTCAGCCAATTGTCTCAAGCCTTCTTGTGTTATCTTTTTCATCATTTTTAATTCACTTTCTTTAATTTCCCTTTCTAAGTTGATCAAATCTTTTTATTGCGTTTTTTTAATAAAGGATGCATATTGAATTACATAACCCCTTAACACCGCTTTCATTGGTTCCCAGGCAATTCCTGCAGAGGGTGCTGTTGCTAGATTGGTCTTTTTGTAAATTGAAATCTGATTTTTTAGTCCTTCTTTAAATTCTGGCATTTGTAAAAGTGAAGAGTTAAATCTCCATCTGTAAGAATGTTGGCTAGCCTGATGTGGACTGATTTCCATACTGACCCAGGCATGATCTGATATAATAATTGGACCAATAGAGAAATTAAAACAAGAAACTAAAGATTTTGATATCAAAAAATAATTAATTTTGGAATATAGTTTATGCGGGGCAGAGTAAAATGTATAATCCCTCCCATTAGGATTAAGAATTCTCCAAATATCTACCAATCCAAGAACTTTGTAAATATCTTTTAATTTAATACAAGATTTAGGTATTCCTATTTTCATAAGGCTACTCCGGTCAAGCACTGGATCAAACACCACATTCAGATATCCCCCTAAGACTATATCCCATTGCCCGACTGTATTTAACATACCCTCTAAATTAACAAAATAACTAGTATCATCCGTATTAGGTGCATAAATGTTGGCTAATATTAAATTGTGCCCATTTAATTGCACCACTATAATAAGAGTTCTCCTTCTTTGTCTTTAATTTGTTTTATACTTTTAAATTATAATTGTTTGTTAACCAGTGTAATCACACCCCTACTATTAGTTGTACCCTCATTGCAATGTACTTCTCCAACCCCAGCCTCCAAGTAACTTTTCTGCTTCCTTTTGAGAGAGATGTGTCTCTTGAAGAAATACAACATCCTATTTCCCTGCCCTTAACTTTGACATAATCTTCTTCCTATTAATTGGATGTCCTAACCCCTTCACGTTCCATGTGGTGAGACGCAATGCTTTAGAAAGGTGTAATACCATCATCCAAAAAAATTATATGTGTGATAGCAGATATCATCTTACTTATATCAATCTGCCGCTGACAACCCAGTCCCCATTCCAAAAAAACAAACTGCGCTGCAACGAGAACAAAGCGCAATTTCAATGAATTCATTGAATTTTCTCTCTTAGCTGATCCAATTCAGACTTACTGGCCACCGGATTCACTTGCTGTTCTTTCTCCGTTTCCTCCAGAAACACAACACGTTTTTCAACATCCTCATTTTGCGTGATCAAAGCCGACAGCTTGGTTTCCACCGAGGTTGTTAATCGATGAAAATCCTCAATGCCTCCCATATCCTCTGATATTTTCTTCAGCGTGGTGTAAATATTAGCTATATCTTGTGATCCAGCCCTTTCTGTAACCGGGTGCAGGGAAGCTCTTTCACTGTCATGAGGCATGTCAGAGGCCTGAGATCTCATATGCCTCTTAATATTCCCTGAAGTCGAGATTTTAGACTGCTTCAACATTCTTTTGCCTTCAATATCAATTGTTATGCGACTTACTGTTGAAGATGAGCGTGTTCCAAAGTTTTAACAGGATAATTATATACGCGCGGCACAGAGCTCCTCGTTAAGCAGCCATCTAGCCTCCAAGCGTCACGTGACTCGTAACACTTGTTTTTTTGTTTTGTTTTTTTTAAATAAAAGTCTTAAAATTTAAAACAACTTTTTCAAAAAGCATTTCATATTGTAAATAAGTTGTCAATTAATACGAATATGTCAATGACTCAATTTTGACAAAATTTTCAGATAGAACCTTATAATTCTAAGGTGACAAGTAGTAATCTGTGAATACACATTGAATTAATTTATGAATAATTAATTAATTAATTTAAAAAAAATTATTGTAGCAGTTTCAACTTTAAGAAAAATTGAAACAGTGTACTGGCACTTTGACACTGTGGCACTGTGATTTAAAAGATTAAAGAGTCCTGTTACGGCCAGCTCGCTCCCGTCATACCTTAAAAAGGATTAGACACACAAAAAGGTATATAATGAAATAAACATTTATTAAAGGGAATAACAAAGTAAAACAAACTGTCTAGGAATTTGAAATAAATAAGAAATCAGCTGAAATTCTCACAACAAAATACAAAATAAAACATAAGACGGCAACAAAAAAGAGTTGGAACAAAATGACCTCTCTGTGGAATAACGGTCCACCAGAGGAAGTGCCATTCTTCACAAAAAATTCAAATATATACATTCTCCACCCATAAATTGACTAATTAACTGTGACGTCACACTGCGTGGCCAC